ACAGCTCAGCAAATAAACTTGCTCTGTAAACTTGCACATAAGGACAGGAAAGAAATAACTCCATAAAGTCATCATCCTCTGGAACATACACACACACAGGTTTTAGAGAACTATCTTTGTACAGAGAGTAGTGCTTCACTACTCATAAGGCAGAGGTAATCTGCCAAGTGGAACTGGGGATGGGCACAGGAAAGATAATTTGACAAATTCTAAATCCAAGAAGCTCAGAAAAACCCGGAAGGATAAACAGAAAAACTGGACCTCAAGGAACATCACAGTCAAATTGCTGATACTTAAGGCTAGAGATGTGGAGAGGCTTTTAAAAGCCCTGGGTTAGATAATGAGCATAAACTGGATATAATCCATACCTCCCTGGGTGGAGGCAAAAGGATATGAAGTTCAAGGTCATCCTCAGTTACAAAATGAGTACAAAAAGAGATGGTGTGGGCCAAAAGAGATCCTGTCAAAACAAATAAAATAATAATCTTAAAAGTATCCAGAAAAGAGAGAAGTATCTCAAAGAGAGGAACAAAGACAGGACTATTCAGACATTCAAGATAGGACACAAAGACACTAGAAGGGGCTCACATATCCCTTTAGCAGAAGCTCTTGACAACGAGCCTTGGGCTGAAGATGCTCCAGTGGGTGGTGGTTCTACGCTACCACAGCACAAACAGTACTAGGTTATAAAAAAGTGCAAACAAAGTGTTGCAGGATATTTGATCCCATTGTGATCCCCTAGATTGTGAACTGTAAAAACCTGTCTTTTGTTTGGTGTGGTTCACCCTAACACACACTTTTAATCCCAGAAGATTCTGTATACAGGATTTCATAAAGATAGCCCTAGGTCAAGAGGCAGAGCCAGTAACCAGCTGACAAGAGTATTTAAGACAGCATGGGTTCACACTGCAACTCTTAGAGTGAACACTAAAGAGCAAAAAAGATGGTGGTAAGCCAAACTGAAGATAAATTTCATCAAAACTGAGCAAAACACTTATGATACATACCAATATACGGTATGGCCAAGACTACCCAACCCCTGACTGGAGTTTAAGGTTAATTTAAAACCAGCCAGGAACTCAAAACAAGCAAACAAAAATTAGCAAAAGAAAAAAACTACGGAAAGAAAATAGACAATGAATTTCAACCCTACAGTAAATGTGAAAAAGTCTTCAACAGGGCTTTTGAAAGAGAGGCTGGGCATGGTGGCCATTCCTTTAATCTCAAAGGCAGAAATAGGTGGATCTCTTGAGTTCAAGGTCTCATGTTACAGAAAGGCCAGGGCTAAAGAGAAACCCTGACTCAAAAAAAAAAAAACAGAAGAAAAGGAAAGGAGGAAGAAAGGCACATGGACAAAGGCTGCCACAAATAAACTTTTAAAAAAGCAAGATCCAACTACATGACATGTTGTGTACAACAAATGCACTTCAGGTTAAAAACAAATGAACTTGAAAAGATGTATCATACAATGAATGGAAATCTCAAGATACTGGATACTACCAGGATAAAGACAGGCATTCCAGCACTATAAAACACCTAGTCCCTGACACAACAAACTATATAAATCGGTTTGTGAACAGAACAGAAATCTATCCATATATGGTCAGTTACATTCTTACAAATCTGCCAAAACAACAAGGACAGTTTTTTAACAAATATTGCTGACACAACTGAACATGTACATGAGGAAAAGGTGCATCACTCTCACACTATGCACACATACCAACGTATAATTCAGGGCACAGAATAGACATTAAGCCCACAAAACTACAAGAAAATCTTCCTGACTTTGAGTTACACAAAATGTCTTAGGATAAAAAATGCACAGGCCATAGAAATAACTGATTAAAAAAATCCATTAATATCAAACTAAAATAATCTACTCTTTAGAAAACACTAAACTACAGGGAGATGACATTCAGAATAAATGCCTTTAAACACAGAAAAACAAACAACCCAAGTAACAAGCAGTAGATCTAAACATTTTCATAAGACCAGAAATCACCTGAAAAAGCCAAAGACACAGCAAATCCTACCTCTTCCCACCTCTGTCAGCTTAAACTTTCAGACTGACAATAAAGAGCCAGCGCTGTGTTAGAAATACTGGAGCCAACAATAGTGAGTTTGTCAAACAAATCAAGTATGTTGGTGATGTTTAAACTGAATTTCTAGAGTCAAATGAAGAAATGGGGCATTCCTATAATAATTTTAATTCTAGAAGATGGAAATTAGCCATTTTGCTAGATTCCTCCTTAGATCCTTTTTAATATTTCAGTCTCTCTTTAAAAGTCTTGTGTACTCTTGGTTTATTTTACTTACCGACACTTTAATTTTGTTGAACTATTATGTAGATGCCTATTTTTTACACCATTAATACTAGTATAAATATTATCATTGCCAGGCTGGTCTTCAACCTAAATCCATCTACCCTGAGTTTCTCTCCCGGTTTCAATGGTTCTTGATATATGACCAACCTAAATCCATCTACCCTGAGTTTCTCTCTTGGTTTCAATGGTTCTTGATAAATGATAATATTCCCAAGTTCTAAAAGGTTTGTTTGTTTTTGTTTTTAAGACAAGGTCTCACATTATGCCACCTTGGCAGACTTGAAACTCAAAACGGTTTCGGGGGCTGGGGGCTCAAACTGTTAGCCACCATGCGAGCAACCAGGACTTGTGAAAGGAGGGCCACAAAAACACCAACAGAGCCAATTAACCAGGAGCCAGAGGGCCTTGCTGAGACTTAAGCATCAACCAAGGACCATGCAGGAACTCCAAAATGTAGGCCCCCTACAAAGATGTAGCAGATAGACAGCTCATGTGGATCCTCTAGTGAGGGAAGTGGGGACTGCATCAAAGGGACTCACTTGTCAGCTTTTTGATCACTTCCCCCTGGCAGGACTGCTTTGCCAGGCCATAGGAGAAGAGGACATGCTTAGTCCTGATGAAACTTGATGAGCTGGGGTGAATAGGAAAAGGAGCTCCCCTTTTCTGAGGAAAAGAAGGGAAAAGGAAAAGGATGGAGGAGGTGAGACTGGGAGAGGTGGAGGGATGGGGCTACAATGAGGATGTAAAGTGAATTTAAAAAAATTTAAAGTATAAACTATGTTAAATACTAATAGAAATATGAGCCATTCATGGCTAGTGATATATATTCATCTTATATATATATATATATATATTGAAATTTTCTCCATTATTATTACTATTAGCTACTGGTCTTGGTAATGACCTATATATAGTTATCCTGAACGCTTTGATTTGTTAAGAGTTTTTATCAGCAGGGCATGATTAAACAGGTCTGCATAGTTTAGTAACCTTTTTGTTTTGTGACTGGGTCTCAGGTATCACAGGCTGGTCTTTAACAGAGTATGCAGCTGAGGAAAATGAAATTCTCGATCCCTGTCCTACCTCCAGAGTGCTGGGAGTGCAGTTGTGAGCCACCAGCTCCCCATCAAACCCAAGGCTTCCAGCATGCTGGGCAAGTACTCTCCACTGGGCTTCACTCCTAAAAGCCCAAACTTACTAATCTTTTCAAGACAATCTTCTGGTTTGGCTGATGACTTATGCTCTTCATGCTCATTTCTTAACTGAAATTTTACTTAAGCATTAATCCAAACTTCCTTCAGCATTTAAGGTAAATCGTACTGCCACTATTAGATCTAGTTTCACAACGTAACATTCAACATACAAACTGTATTATGTAAATGATTGTATGTATAAGAGGATTGTATGTATAATCATATACAAACCTTTCTATCTACACCCACACAAAAGTATCTTTGCCTGAAGCAGTATCTTGAAGGCAAGTAAAAAAGGTTGAAAGTCTGTGTGCTATCCCCATAATTATTTTTTCCTATGGTTGTGACTGCACGTCTGAATCAAGACAAATAATTTTCTCTTCACAGCTAGGTGGGCAATTACTGTTATAGCTGCTATATACTGTTATAAAATCAGTAAACTAGAAATAAAATCTCCAGTTACATCACCAGATGTCATTTTAAACTTGCAGTTAACAAGGTCCTGGCTACCTGAAGTGATCACTTTTCTTTTATGCTATCATCACCCAGGCTAAAAAGCACTGTCTTATTCTTTTCCTACCTAAAATGTGACTAGCTAACTGTAGCATTTTGAGGTTACTTTTTGTCTTCTGCCTGCAATTGTTAAGGCAGATTGCTAAAAAATTCAACATCCGGCAGGAACCTGAGTATGGCCACTTGCTGAATTTGAATTGCTTCTCTGGAAAGTGATTTTATACATCAGCTTCAAAATAGTTGTAGTAGTTTCTACTGCATAAATAAGTGACTCAAATTTTCGTGACAGGATGCAAAAAATGTCACAGAGAAAGAAGTGTAGATATGAACCAACGTTCAGATTCCTGACTTGCTTAATGTTCAGAAGCTAACACAAGAACAGTCAGTCGCAGTGACTCACGCCTGTAATCCCAATGCTCAGACAGGCAGAGGCAGGAGGATCTCTCTGAATTCAAGGCCAGCCTCGTCTACAAAAAGAGTCCAGGCCAGCCAAGGCTACGCAGAGAAACCCTGTCTCGAAAAAAAAAAAAAAAAAAAATAACAACAACAAAAAAACAAGAATGCAAGTTGGCAAATCTCTTTGCTTTTTGGCAGAAAAAAAAAAAAAAAAGGAAAGGCCTTTAGCTAGGAAATCCAAGCCTGCCTTCTTTTTTCCCTCTTTGCCTTGTAGGTGAAACTTTAACGGGTACTCATGAGAAAAAAAGCTTCCTAATATTAAGAGATGATCAAGCGTAATAAAGATCTTGTCTGAAGCATAATCTAGGGATACGTGCGCAAGTACAACAAGCAGCCCGGGACAGTAGGCCGGACACTGGCCGAAAGACATCAAACGAGGATGGGAGAGTAAAAAGAGGAGAGAGAGAGACCTAAGCCTGGAACAAAGAAAGCGGAGCTGCTCCCAGGGCGGGGGAATTCGGTGTGTGGATGTGGAGATGCAGCCGAGGTTACAGGGAAAGACCAGACTCACGGAACTTGGAGGTGGAGGTGTTGATGTTGATGGTGGAGCTGGGGGTGGGGGCAGGGGCCGCCTTGGCCACCGCAGCGGCCGCGTCGCAGCTCTTCAACATCATGATCACCCCGTTGGGCTCCGGCAAGGGCGGAGGCCCCATAGGGAGACCCTCCTTAGGGCCCTTTCTGTCCACGGAGCCCGCGGGCACAGCCAGCAGCTGGCCCCCCGGGGATTCTCGGCCAGGATCCGGGATGGACGACGAGGGCGGCGGCGGAGGCTGCCGGAAGCTGTCTGCGGCGGCCTCCCAGTTGTTGTGGTTCTGGTCGTCCATCATTGCTTCGTAGGTGAGCATCTCCTCCTCCTCCATGTTCTCCTCCATCCCGCCGGCCCACCTCAGCGCCCGGACCGGGAAGCACAGCAGCCGCCTCGAGTTCACATCGCCCGGAGCACTCGCGGGCGCACGGAAAAACCCCGCGGCGCGCCGAGCGCTTTCGCCCTCCGTGGAGAGGACCCCGCTGAAGGAACCGCTGACTGCGGTGGGCACTCCCGGGCTCCGGTTCTGAGAGAGGCGGCCGCAAAGCAGCGACGTCCCTCACGACATTTTACAGCAGCTGCTCCGGGCCTTCGGGAAGGGCTCTCGGGGAGCGGCCAGGACGGCACGTGGTACGAGGGACGGCCCGCAGAAAGCTGGCGGAAAGGGGCGGGAGCTGTGAGTCACCCGGCGCGACGGGACCCAGCGGAGCCCTCCCCTCCCCGCACCGGTTTAGGCCCGGCGTGGAGACCAGGATTCGCCGGCCCCGCCCCCTGCCGGCATTACGTGATAAAGGACTCTGGTCTGCGCGCGCGCGTTCTTCGACTTGTTGCCAGAACTGCTCTGGGTGTGTCCCGGCACGCACAAAATTGCGGACCGCTGCTGTACGTGATCAGCCCTTTTTTGTCTTTTTCTTTCTTTCTTCTTTCCTTCCTTTCTTTCTTTCTTTTCTTCCTTTCTCCCTCTCTCCCTTCCTTCCTTTCTTAATTTCTTTCTTCCTTTTTTTTTTTTTTTGAGACAGGATTTCTCAAAGTTGGCTTGGCTGTCCTGTACTCACTTTGTAGACTATGCTGGCCTCGAACTCACAGCGATCCACCTGACTCTGCTTCCCAAAGTGCTAGGATTACAGACGGCTTCCAACCCTTTTTTCTCCTCTTTTTCTTTCTTTCTTTTTATTTATTTATTTATTTTTTAAGAAAAATAAATGAAAGTCACACTCTACCCCTGACTGGCCTCCACCTCCAGGCAGTCCTCCTTCCTTGGCCTCCTGAGTGTCCTGTCATGCCCCATGCTGCCTAAACTTTCCATAGCAAGGTTCCCCCTAACATCACCAAAACATGGGTTTCGCCACCCAGGCCTTGACCTCACAAACCCAACCTTTGCATGGGGACTAAAGTACAGGGTCTCAGTAGTCCCTGAGTACAGATTCTAAACAGGGTAGACGGCTGGTATGTACCCTCTTTTACCCCTGAGTACGCCAAACTGAGTAGTACAGAATAGTGCTTCAGAAATTGCACAATACACATTCCTTCTAAGAATATGTGCAGCATTTACAAAAAAATAAAGGTACTGTGTCCCTAAGTCAGTGTCTGTGGATATCATAACAACCACACTCTCTGCACTTTGCAGTCAGAAACCATTGACTGAACAGTAGTAAGTCCCCATTGTATTGTTCTTTTGAACAAGTCATCCGTCTGAAAGTCACACTGAAAAGCTTTAGAACTGATGAGACTGGTACAGTTATAGTAAACTTTTCTCAAGGGCCTAATTCAAGAAGGTTTTTTCCCAGCACACTGGTAAATACTGAACACTTCCTGTCTATCTTGTTAAGATACTCAGTATATAGCAATGGTTTCATTGGTTAGACGTGGAAAAGCCTAACAGCTTGGGCCAAAGAAATCCTTGATCAGTGGTCATGGGTAAAAAATACTGCAGGGAAAGTGAATGGGCATGTGATAATCGGTGGACTCTTGTGTAGAACTTGTAAGCCATGTTAAGTTATACTTTAGGGCATTGTGGTGGCTATTCATGGTTGTCAACTTGACTGTAGTGGAATGAATACATTCCACAGATGAGAGCACATTGTTGATCAGATTGAGGCAGGAAGACACACTTTCTGGGCCACACCTTCTGCTAGAAGCTATATAAGGCCATGGAAGAAGGAAGGTTTTACTCCTTGCTTGCTCTCACCATGTCCATTCATTGGCTGGCATTGGCGCTTACATCTTTAAAATTCCAGCATATACAGAAGAGGCAGCTGAGACATCCAGTCTTGTGGGACCGAGAAACTACTAGATTCTTGGACTCTCCATTCACAGCTAGGCATTCTTGGATTAGCTCAACTGCAGCCAGTAAGTTACTCCAATAAATTCCATATGTGTGTGTGTTGTTGTTATTGTTGATGTTATGCCCAGATCTTAGGGTCCCCAAAGACCACTAGGAGCTGGAACGCGTATACAAGAGCAAATTCAGCAAGGGCAAGCTTGTTACAAAGTGATTGGCTGACTAACATAACTAACATTGAGCAAGGCTATCTATAGACCTCAGGAATGTTAGGTATTTCTATGCCATCAATGTTCTACTACAAGGTCTTGGGCTGCCCAGTATAGATGCCCCATCCTGAGATAAAGTACCTTCCCATTCTTGTGGTTATCTCCAGGCTGTTTGGGGGAGGGGGGTGGGATTTTATGGTCTTTTTCCTGGAATTGGTTACCTATGGCCTAATTTTTCTTTTAAAGTCAGGCCTGGTCCTAAAATGGAGACAAAGTTTATGTTGTCCTCTCGTGTGTGTGTGTGTGTGTGTGTGTGTGTGTGTGTGTGTGTGTGTGTG